CTCTCCTTTTCTCCTTTCATATTTCATTATCCATATTTCTTTTTAGCCTTCATTTTTTTTCTAATGTTACTTTAAAAAATTTTATCTAATATTCACCGAAACAATATTATTTTGAAACAGAAATCAAAGTGTATTTATAATTTTAATTTATTTTAAAATTATAATAATCTTTATCATTCTAAATTTTTTATCTTTCAATCCTAAAATGACGTCGTTTCAGTGAACATTAAATAAAATTTTCTAAAATAACATTAGATACTTTATTCATGTATGACTCTTTTAATTATCCACCAAGTATCTTTTACTTAAAAAATAAATAAAAATAAAAAAGAAATAAATAAATTGATAAAAGAAACCACCATTCCCCCCTTATAATTATTATAATGATGACTTGCCCAAGGTTGAAGGGTGGTCCTCCTCTCCATTTACTTTTTTTCTTTTTTCTTTTCGACATAGAGCTCTGCCCTCTCAGAAGGACCACTGCACTGCTTTGCTGACAAATTGAGGATTCATAGTCTATTTTGTACCAATAATTAAAATATTTGCAACCTGCATAGCAAAAGTAGGTAATGGACCATGACAATTACCATCTTGGGCTAGATCATATAGTATTGAAAATTAACGATATCATTAAACAAATATTTTGCAAATTTGTTACCTAGCTAGTAGAGTACGTTACTGTCCATGAAAATGCCGTATTGGTCGTTCTTTTTAAAATATTAAGGCAAGAATAATTATAATCACAATGAGAAGCCAAAAATCTCTGTCATGCAACATGGCCTCAATCATTTAATATTATGATTGTGTTTGATGAAAGTATAGTTAAATGAAAGGCTTCCAAGGTGAAAGAGAGAAAAGAGTTTAAACTATTTTCAAGTGGGATCCACTCGCACTAGACCCATGTGATTTCATTAGGGGGATTCATTAAAATATAATTAGCCAAACAAGTTCTAGTTCAGCGTTATTATAAATCTATTGCGTTGGCATGCCCAAATAAAATGATACAGAGTCTGAAATATTCAGCCACATACAGATAACAATAATGGTGATATAAGAGTAATAAATCTAGCATCTTACTTAACCCATCATGATTGACCAAGGCAGAATTATTAATTGAAGATTAATAATATCATATGGATACAGGTGTTAGAGAGAATTTAGGTAACACAATCCTCGAAAAAAAATTCAAGCTATACTTGGTAAATCATATGGAAAAAGAAATGTGGATTCAAAACTCGAGCAAATGCAGATTTTTAGGTGCAGATTTAATTTCTATTAGATTCTTAGTATAGATTTTGAATACTCTCCCTTTCCTTATGGCATTATCCCAACACAGCCCTGCCCTAGTATGTAATGCCCGACTACTTGCAGAATAAATGATTGTCCTCCTAAACCAACACGAGACTTTTCAACGTGTTTTATTCTCACTCACACTTCCTGAGAAACTTCCCAAGAGGTCACCCATCCTAAAATTGTTTCAAGTCAAGCACGCTTAACTATAGAGTTCTTTAATTATAAGCTATTGAAAAATATGTGCATCTTGTTAGTATAGGCAATACATATTAATTCCTTTAAGCTATCATCAACAGTACAATCTCATACCCTGCACAGCCTCTGGATACCACATGTAACGCCTGACCACTTGCAGGATTAATGACTGTCCCCACAAACTAACACAAGACTTTTCAGCATGCTTTATCCTCACTCCAACACTTCCTTAGGGACTTTCCAGGATGTCACCCATCCCAGAATTACTCCAAGTCAAGCACGCTTAACTATGGAGTTCTTAAGTTATAAGCTACCGAAAAGTATATAAATCTTGTTAGTATAGGTAGTACATATTAATTCCTTTAAGTCATCCTCTATTGTACAGTCTTATATCTGCACAGTCTTTGGATCCCTCTCGTTCGGGTGTTGATTCGATTCATTTATGTACCTTTTCCGCTGTAAGCCTGCCAGGAGCCTTTTTTACTATCACAACCCCTCCCACCTTAGCAGGCTAGAGCCCAAACGCTAGGCTTTATCTGGACTAGTTTTACAGCCCAACCCATGTGCCAAAGGACTATCTACTCCCAGCCCTTGTCAGCACCCGAGATGTTACATGCCCACCAGTTTTCGCCTGGTTCGTCCTCGAACCACACCGTACCGAAAGAAAGGCCTTGCTCTGATACCACTTGTAACGTTCGTGCACTTGCAAAATCAATGACTATCCCCACAAACCAACACGAGACTTTTCAGCGTGTTTTTTTCTCACTCACTTTCCTGAAAAACTTTCCAGGAAGTCACCATCCCATAATTGCTCCAGGTCAAGCACGCTTAACTATGGAGTTCTTAAGTTATGGGCTACCGAAAAGTAGATACATCTTATTAATATAGGTAGTACATATTAATTCCTTTAAGCGATCCTCAATTGTATAGTCTCATACCTGCACAGCCTCTGGATCCCTCTCATTCGGATGTTGATTCAATTCATTCATGTACCCTTTCCTCTGGAAGCCTGCTAGAAGCGGTTCTTTGTCCGTACCTCATATCTTTTGCACCGGCGATCACTCCCCGCCCTCATCAGCGCTCGGGCTATTACATAGTATTTATCGCTATTTTCATTGTCCTTCTATTTGCAGCGATAAATTGCAATTATCTGACTTATTTGTGTAGATTTGTGAGGAATAATGAATAAATATGGTACTTGATTGAAGTAGCTAGCCAGTAACGAGGCTGAAAGGTAGTCTAAGTGAAAATGGCACAAGCAAAAGGTGACTGTATACACTGAATATGTTGAATAGAACCATCGACATTTGAGTAGGTGATTATGGCAATCAAGACGTGTGTCCCCAAAAATAAAAGGACATTTGAAAGTAGAAATTATAAATGATGCACTTACAGTTGACCCATTGCACGTGGCCCAACCATTGATTCAAGAAGCTCATAGTCGGCTAGAGTTGTGGCCCAATAAGTATGACCCAATTATTGAAAGAGGCAGTGATTTGAACTATAAGAAATTACAATCAAATCTAAATCTCAATAAAGCAGCAGATGTGATTGTGATTTGTTTGGGAAGAAAAGGAAAGCAACATATTTGGCATGATTTGAGATTAACGATTTGGGATGTAATTTGAATTATTTATTTGTAACTTTTTATTTATTTTTTAGATGTTAATTTCTTTTATTTATTTCAGGAAGTTTTATTATTTCTAGAATTTTAGATTTTTGAATTTTGAATCAATTTGTAATTAGTCTATAAAAGGGTGCTTATGACTCTTATTCCAGGAGTTGAATTTTGTTATTTTGATAATTATAATTGAGAACCGGAGGGTTACTCTTTTGTGAAAATCCTAACTTTCTGTTTAGCCACTTTTTCTATGCGCTTTCGGCTTCATTTGATATCAGAGCACTAGGTTGCCTTCAACCAATGGCTGAACAGAATCGTGGAGGTCGACGACGGCGGAGTCACGAGAGTAGGAAGCGTGGATTCGTTCCTGAAGAATATAGACAACTGCGTCAGATTGACCCGCGAGACATAGAAAATGAAGAGCTCAGAAGGCAGATCCAGGATTTGAAGGAACAACTTGAGCAAGCGTTGGACAAGAAAATCCAAGTTTTGAAGCAACTATGTGTGCGGCCACAGAGAAAGAGAATTCAAGATTTGGAGCGACAACTCATGCGGGTATGCACGAAAATTCAAATTTTGAAGCAAACTCTTATGGAGGTGCAGAGCATGGAAAGTCAATATTTGGAGCGGCGACTTGCGTGGACAAAGTTGGGCATTCAATTCGAAGAAAGAATGGAATTAGATGACGCATCTGATGATGAAGAAGAGGACGTCAATCCCTTGAGGATTCTAAACCAGGGACAGAATTGGGAAGTACGACCTGGAAATCAGTCCACTTTTCAAGATATCGAGATGCAAATCAGCATTCCTGATTTTGATGTCTATGATCATAATCCAGTTTGTGATGATGATCCAATCTATGACAATGAGCCGATCTATGATGATAATCCAATTTATGATGATTATCCTATTGTAGATAGTTATCCCATTTATGATGATTATCCATCTTATGATGAAGATTCAGTTTGTGGTAATAATCCAGTCTACGATAAATCTGATGGAGAATCAGATTATGAAGATCTAATCAAGGAAAATTTGTCAGTTTTGTTTCTACCAAAGGAGATTGAGATTGTTGAAGATAAACAAGATTTGATGACGAATCTTTTTCTAGCAGGGGAGAATGATGCACTTACAATTGGCCCATTGCACGTGGCCCAACCATTGATTCAAGAAGCTCATAGTCGACTAAAGTTGTGGCCCAATAAGTATGACCCAATTATTGAAAGAGGCAGTGATTTGAACTATAAGAAATTACAATCGAATCTAAATCTCAATAAAGCAGCAGATGTGATTGTGATTTGTTTGGGAAGAAAAGGAAAGCAACATATTTGGCATGATTTGAGATTAAAGATTTGGAATGTATTTTGAATTATTTATTTATAATTTTTTATTTATTTTTTAGATGTTAATTTCTTCTATTTATTTTAGGAAGTTTTATTATTTCTAGAATTTTAGATTTTTGAATTTTGAATCAATTTGTAATTAGTCTATAAAAGGGTGCTTATCACCCTTATTCCAGGAGTTGAATTTTGTTATTTTGATAATTATAATTGAGAACCGGAGGGTTACTCTTTTGTGAAAATCCTAACTTTCTGTTTAGCCACTTTTCTATGCGCTTTCGGCATCAAGAAAGACTTGTCACATGATTGTGCAGTTTACTTATTTCCTCCTTTTTACCTAAAATATCAGCACCAGTCGGTTCTAACTGTGATTCTTCACTGGTAACCCCACAAGTGCCTTAGCTCAGAAACCCCAAGAATTCTTCACAAAACTTGTTACAACATATGAATTTTTCTAGGTGGAAAGGGAACAGGCAGACTGTATCTGAATTGTTATTTTTGCAAAATAATCAAACTAAACTTAAGAATCCCCATTCCAAAGTGAATAGTATGGGGGACTCTTCAACTACGTGAATAGTATTCAAATAGCAAATTGGCCTTACAAATGTGTTTGAGAGAGAGACTTTGTCAGGGATCAAGCCAAGCATCATTTTTACAAGGTGACTAGTGTTCCTTTTTTGTCAAGTAAACAAGAAAGGTCCATCAATATAGGCAATGAAAATGGGAATAGAATGCCCATATGCAAAGTAAAAACACTACATAATAAGAGAGCTCATTAATTGCCATTCATTTGCTAATTAAAATGTTTACTTCCTTCATTGGAAATAAAAAAATTCTAAAACACATAGACAATTAGCATTCAATCATAGCCAAGGCAAATTCAAGAAAGATCAATAGAAGCAGTAGGGTATGAAGCACCTTTGTATTTAAAAACTAATTGGTAGTTCAAAGGTGTAAAATGATTCCCCTTCAGCATCTCCAAGTTGAAACTGAGATGAGATCCTTCCTTTGCCAGCATAGAACAAGGGAAAACTGCCTCTTCTCCACATGGAATCCCATACCAGGAGTCCTCTGCACCAAACACTCTGCTTGGGACTCTGTAAAGTTACTAAATGTCACCGGGGAGAACCCAGATGACAAGAGCAGGTTTTTCCAAGGAAGTGTTCTTTCCTGAAAATGCTGACGACCCAGAACAAGCTTCTCCATTGCTGGTTGAAGATAATACTTCTCAATCATCTGCAGGACATCTGGGTGAACATTAACAGCATCAAGTGACTCAAGTAGCCCTGAATAAGAATGAAGTGCAAAAATCAGATGCTGAGGAAATGGTGCATCAGTTCGATCACAACTTCTATCCAATGTAACCACAATTTGGGGCATGAGCTGCTTGACAAAGCGAAGGACCAAAGGAAGGTATGCGGGGTAATTTGAAAAAGAGCCAATAGGCAAGTTAACCACAACAGCTTCGCAACCATGAAGTGGCTGGGGCCAGGAAGCAGAATTCAAAGACTCGAGGCTAAGAATCGCAAGCTCAAAGGTCATGTTAATCTCATCAGCATATTGCTTCAAATTCTCGTGAGTGAAACTGAGCTCAATTTCATCATGGTGGGAGGGTGACACAAATGCTGTGATCTTGAGAGCAGGTGCACCGCCATTCCTGAGTGCTAATTCTTGCATGAAAGAAGACCACTGTCCACCAAACCCAATATCAAAATCTACTATGTGAATGCGATCAAACCCTTCCACAGCTTCAAGCAATGCCTGGCTACATGTGAAATTGGCAAATTGCAGAACTGGTGAGATTTCTGAGAATGACTTGTAAGCACCAATCTTGAGCAATAGACCAGTGGGCGAGAAGGCCAAAGAACTGTTGTTGCCATTTGAATGGAGAAACATTTGCATGGCCTCCTTGAAATAAAAAGCAGCCCTCTGAAAAGGCTTCCCAATGGGAGAAAGTTGCTGATTGAGCCGCGCCAATATCCCGTGCGCGTGTTCCGGATTACTGCCGTCCATCATCTCTGCAGCCTTGAAAAGCTGGTCAATTATAGCCTGTTGAAGCTGGTGGGTCGCCAAGTCTTGACTGCCGCTCCCGCCGCCGGGGTTCACCATTTTCTGCTTCGGTGCCACCACTATGGACGGCCTCTGCTGCAGATGGTGAGGAAAGAGTTGAAGCTGCTGTTGCTGCCTCCGAAGGAACAGCTCTTGACCAGAATCCAAAAAGGGTGTCTTTGGAACCTGATAATTTGGTGCAGCAGGGCCACAATTCAGACGTTTAGCCGGAGGCTGAGGGAGAAGGTGATGATGTTCTTGCAGCTGGGCATATGTCAAAGGCAAAACCAAACCTGGGTTTTGCATAAACGGAGCTTGGTTTTGGTTCAAAACGAACTGGGGATTGAGAACTTGTAGCTTCTCATCAAGAGATTCTATTGGTTGTTGCTGCTGTTTTTGTGGCTGAAACACACCCTGAGGGAGTGAAGTTGGTGAGAGATTGCTAACTGAAGAAGGGAACACAGGGTTAGTATTGACACCAGAGCCAACTCTAGCAATATTGGAGTTGACGTTGAAAGGGAAATCAGAACAATTCCCAGGACCAGAAGGGTCAATGCTGCTCACAAAGTTGATACTAGAAATGGGGTCAAGCACAGAACTTTGATCCACAAAACTAAAACCCACTCCAACCCCATTGAATTCAACATCTTGAGAACCACTTCCACTCTGCAAAAGCTTGCTCAATCCAACAGATGGGTCCTCAATGTCCCCCATAATCAATTTCAGAATGGAATGGTCTTGACCTGGTGACTCAGACAACACACTCTCCCATTCCTCCATTCCCATCCCACATCTTCCCTGGCCAACTTCTAACCCTGCTTGAGGTGGGTTGTTATCCTTTTCGCCTGAGAACTTTGCCGCCACGCCGGTGGTGTTATCGATTGAGCCGCAGCTGCCGCCGCTGCCGTGTGAGGAAGACAGTGTAGAGGAGGATGTGGGAGGGCTTGGTTTTCTTCTGACGTCCAAAGCAGAGGTGGGCTCAATGCCCACATAGCAACAGTTTTCCCTGTGGGTCCACCTTTGAAGAAATTGTTCTTGCTGTGGTAGTAACAACGAATCTGAAACACCACCACCGCCACCAGAAGCAAAATCTAACACCCCGTCCCCTCTAAATTCCTGAAAGGGTAGGGGCACGGCCTTCATCTAAAATCAACACACAACAAGTTGGAAGAAGAGCAAACTCCAAAATGGGTTTCAGTTAAGGGCTCAGGCTAACGAAAATTGATGATGTATGATGAACAGCGAGCTCAAGCTACCAGGTGGGAAATTTGTGGTGAAAACAAAGACCAAGATCTGAGCTTTTGATTTGATATTTCAAGCTCTGACAGAAACACACTAGTTGTCAAATGCATGCAGTTGTGTTCAACAAACCCATTTCAGCAACAACAACAACAACAAACACATCTCACCTTATTTCACTTGCACGGCTACTTCTTCTTCTTGTTTTTCTTCAATCCCTATTTCTCTCTCTCTCTCCCCCCCTTCAAAAACCCATCTTTGTTCTTCTTGTGATGTGCACAGTACAAAAAGAAAAAAGAGCTTTAAATGGGGTTTTCTTTCTCTTGTCTGTGGAGTACCCTTGTCCTCCTTGTGTTTCCTTCTGTGGATGGATGCGTGCAACATATAAAAGTGGTAAAGGGCTCTCTCTCTCTATCTCTATGTTTCTCCCTCTCCTTCTCTCTCTTAAAATTTAGGCTTATTAATATAATTTTTATGTGGCTTTTGTCTGTAGACGGTTGTTATCTCGCATGGTAGGGTCACTGTCACACCCTGTCCCCACTCGCAGATGTAGTGCGCACAATTTATAGTTTAGGTACGTGAAAGATATGTTTTCACTTTTTATTTGTTACTATTATTTATTTTTAACTACTTTTTTTAAAAAAAAAATTATTAAATATCTGAGATACAATAATAATTCTTTAAATATTTGAACCAAATTTTTTATTTAATAAAAACATTCTGAGTCTTACTTAAACTGAAAAAAAGGAGCAAAAATAATTAACATACTCTTTGATAAAATAAGATAAGAAAAAGATGTACTGTGTAAAAAATTTCACTAAATAAAATTCATAAAAACATGTGTATTACATAGAAGGTGTTTTTTATTACTTTACTGGTTATTAATTTATTTGAGTCGGGCAAAATCTAAATACAAATTATTTTATAAGAATACATAAGTTTTATAAAAAAATTATTTTTCATTTTATAAAAATATTTAATTTTAACTTTTCACTTTGTTTAATTGAAATACTAGAATTAAAAATTATTTATTCTACTTATTAAAAATATGTTTCATTATATCAATTGATTATATATATATATATATATATATATATATATATATATATATATATATATGAGTGTGTGTGGAAAAAATATTTCTATAGTCACTTTAGATAAGGTTATATCTACAGCTACCCAAAAACTATGTCATTTTGATTAATGAAAAGTGTTTCTGTAATTTTAGGTGAATTAATGAAGGGTGTTTTAGTAAAATGTATATGATAAAAAAATAAAAAAATTACAAAAACACCCTTCATTAATCAAAACGACGTAGTTTTTTGGATAATTGTAGATAACTTTATCTAAAGCGACTGTAGAAATATTTACCCCTATATATATATATTGTGTGCGTAATTCACACGACGAATAAAATTAATTATTTAATTGTGAATTTTTTTTAGTTAGCTAATATATATAATATTTTATGTATGGGAAATACTTTTCTTATGTTTAAGAGGAGAAAAAAAAAGAGTAGTGGGACTCACCCCTCTTTTGTGTGTAGAAAAATTGTTTCTCTCATGTAAAATGAGATAAATATAACTCTTTATATATTTATTATTTATTTTCAAAACACAAAGAATCCAAACAAAGAAAAGCTAGTATTACAAGTAGTATATAATTTTTATAATTAAACTTGTTTATTATAATTGTTAACCAGACCAATATAAATTGGGTCTCATCAAACACAGTTAATTCTGATCCAAAATTAAAATACTAATTGCAGTATAGCTTATATCAGTGTTTTAAAACTCGGACAGATTATCGACTCGATCGAGGTATTGGGTCATTAGGTCACTAGTTCAACCGAGTTGAAATAGATATACTGTTCACATATTAAAAAATATATAAACATTTAGAAACTACCTTCCAAAAAAAATGAGAGTGATAAAATTTAGAAATTACCCTCCAAAGAAAAAAATAAGAAATGTTTTCAATGTATCCTCAGAGTCATGTGCCCATAGATCTTTGGGCCATCTTTTCTTAAATATTTCTCTAATCTATACAAGAAACTCTTGATCTCTTAAACATGTCACAAGGAGGTAGTCTTTGAAGGTTTGTTTTGGATTCTATGAAATTCTATGATCCCTATTTTTTCATAATTAACTTAAAAAAACCAAAAAAATAGATAAATAGATAAACAAAATCAAACATCTGTTTTGTTCAAAGGTTGTGGAATCTGGGAAGTTGCTGCGAGTATCGAACAAGCTCAGGTATCCATCTTCATCAGATAAAGCTAGAATTTGGAGGTCTGCAAGAAAAATTTACCCTAAAAAAATCAAGGTTTGCCTATGTAATATTTTGGCGAGAAAAATAAAGGGATGTGCTCAAAATTGAAGGTTGAGCAAGTTTGGTTTGAGTACCTTACAGAGAGAGAGAGAGAGAGAGAGAGAGAGAGAGAGAGAGAGAGAGAGAGAGAGAGAGAGAGAGAGAGAGAGAGGGGGGGGGGAACAACTTCGATTTCACTGAAGCCAGAGACCAATCATCCATGTAAGGCCGTTTTCGAACTGTAACAACGAAGCCCACCAAAAGAAAACAAAGAAACACAGTTATAAAATGAAGTTGTTCAATAAAGTAGAGAGAGAGAAAACCTCAATAGACATTGAGCTCCTTGGAGGCGATGTGGTTGAAGAGGGATTGGGGTTTGGAAATGTCATTGAGTTTGCCCCGCTGTAGGTTTGTGCCTGTACATATTGCGTCTGAATTCAGTCCCACATCGACTAGCGTATGAGATTTCTCACGTTTTGAGAAACTTCCATATCCAGTGAGGCCCAAGCAAAATGAGCAAAGGAAACGATTTTCTAAGTTTTTAGATATTTTTAAGAAATTGCAGATTAATATTCCTTTTGCAAATGCCTTCATATGCCAAATTCCTGAAGGAAACATTATCTAAGAAGAGGAAGCTCACAGAGGATGAACCGATTACACTAACAGAGGAGTGCAGTGTAATCTTAGAGAAAAACATGCCTCCAAAGTTGAAGGATTCAGGAAGCTTCAGTATTCCATGCACCATTGGCAAGACGATTGTAGAGAGTCTTATGCAGTGTAACTCTGATGAAGAAGCTGGGAATTAATGAAGTGAAGCCAACTAGGATGATTGTTTAACTGGCCGACCGCTCAACAAAGCAAGCACATGGTATTGTGGAAGATGTGCTAGTCAAGGTAGACAAATTTCTAATTCCTGTTGATTTTGTCATCACATTGATGAAGATGCCAGTGTGCCTATGATCTTTGGGAGGCCATTCTTAGCAACCTTATGAGCGTTAATCGATGTACCTAAGGGTGAATTGATAATGCGCGTGGATGGAGAGCAAGCAACATTCAAGGTACTCATAAATGAAGCTCCTCCATTGCTTGCGTCTCAACCTAAGAATCAAGTCAATTACATTGTGGAGAAAAAGGCTGAGGAAGGGAACAAGAAGGAAGTCCATCAATGGCATGAAGGAAGCAAGCCAAAGGTGAAGATGGGAAAGCCCAAGAGCAAGGAAAAACATGTAGAAACTAAGTTTAAAGTTCTTGAGAACCCTCCTCCTCATCCACATGCATATGATCATGGAAGGAAACAATACTAGACCAAGAAGATTGGGTCATCAAAGGTAGCGTGCTTCCAACTACCATAAATCACAAGAGGTACGTCAGGCTCGTGATGTTAAACAAGCGCTTCTTGGGAGGCAACCCAAGAGTGTTGAGTCAGTCCTTTTCAATTTATTTATTTTATTTATTTTGTTATTTGTTATTTTGATTATGTTTTTACATTCCTGTTTTGTGTGGAGACAATTGAGATGTTATGATGTTTAGATATCTTTTGATATATGTTGACTTGATGCTTTAACCAGTGTGAGTGTGTTACCTGCGCAGAATTTCTTATTTTTTGCCTAGTTTAGTTTTTATTGGTGGGGACAACAATGTTCTAAATCTGAAAATTGGGCGCACCACATGCGGTACAGCAGAACCAGACAGAAATGACCTCCAACAGAAAAAAATTTCTGAATCAGGGGAGATATCTAAACCTTTTGTCTCATTTTCTGTTGATATTTTTGTTTTTGTTTTGATATTTGGTTTTGATAGAAGAAATTCTCTGAGCAACATACATGGATATGTGTTAGCTACTCATGCAATAAGATGATTAAATCTTAGAGAGCATATAAGATACTGTGTGAGAAGTCATAACGGATAAATGTTTTGAGTAATGCATTGAAGTATAAGAGTTGTTATTGCTCGTTTGATTGAATTCTTTGTTGAGAGTTACAGTTGATATGTGATGATAATGGAATTTAGATTCTAGTTTGATTGCACAGCCGTGAGGTTTGAGCCTATACAGTAACTTTTTTTAGAGAGGCCTCACTGTGATAATACTCTAGAACTTGATCTGTTTCTCTGTAATACATGCATGATCTGAAATGATAAAGGCAATTCTTTCTTGTTAACTCATTCGCCAAATAGTTGACCCGAAAAAAAAAAATTCATTGCTAGCCCTTTTGAGCCTTAGCCTGTTGTTTCTTGTTGAATTTAACCATAAGACTCTTAGCTTAATTCCTATCAACACAACTTGGATGAGATTGAAGCACTGATTATAGATATTCAAAGAATAATTTCACCGAAATAAAGTGATAGTGAAAGCAAAAGCTGGGACCAAAGAGAAAAGAAACAAAATGAAAAGTTGCAAAGCAACAGCAAAGCATGAAAAGGTCAAGAAGAAAACAGAAAAGTATGAATAGAAAGGAAAAGACTAAGTGAAATTGTGTCTGAGTATGAACAACTGAAAGTAAATAGTTGTGTTTCAATCTCATATACAGTAAAAAGTAGCCACTTTCCCAAATATTTTTACCTTAGCCTAAGCCAAGTTACAACCCTGCAAAGACCTTTGGATCTAATTGTGCATGATTTACATGTTCCTCATCTTTAGGAACTTGAGAATAGGATCAAGCTTATGGTAGTCTTATTGCACTGATGGATTGAGAGTTAAATCCAATACACAAGAGTGACAAGTGCAGTGATTATCCTGGTAAGAAGTGATCAAACTAGATTCTAATTCCTTACACCAAAAGTGATTCCTGAAAATTCTCAACTTGGAATTCACTCATGCATAGCATTATAACTCTGAATCTCTTCAATGTAGAAAATTGCATTAGTGACATAAATTCTTCTCACAGAGTTAATCCTTGTTGCCTGATGTTTGATCTTATTTATTGCTGGGGACAGCAACATCTAAATCTGGGAATTGTTTGATATGCGTCTAACATATGGTGATTTCTAAGTAAAAGAAGCAAGGAATTAATCATAAATATGTGAAAATAAGCTCATAAATGCAAGAAATATTGATTATTCCTTCTCAATCATTCTGTCACTCAATTTATGCATTTTGATAGCAGGAAACACCAAAAAGAAGTGAAAGAGATAAGTTGAAATTGCATAGTCTCGCACAGGAGTCATGAATGCAGTCCTTGATTTGTGGAGTCGCAAATTTGGCACTGATCGCGCGAGCATCATGAATGCATTCCTTGATTTGTGAAGTTTGATGAAAATGGAAATTTAATCAAATTAATGAGAGGATTATGACCTGATTGATTGGTGGAATTATGAGAAAAATGGAAATTTAATCAGAATTAATTAGAGGATTATGACCTGGTTGATTGGTGGAATTATGAGGAAAATGGAAATTTAATCAGAATTAATTCAAGGATTATGACTTGATTGAGTAGCTGGCTATATAAAGGAAGAAGAAACTCTAAAAGAAAATCATCTTTTGACAAGGAGAAATTGGAGAGGAAGCTCTCGGTGACTGAAGATTCAAGACTTCTTCTTCCGGTTTTACATTTTCATGAACTCTTTCTCATTATTTAAATTGTCAGACATGAATATGTCTGGCAAGTCTTTTATTATTGTGGTAAGGGTCACAACCCTTGATGTGAACCCCTTGTAGTTTGGTTAAATTTATATTTAATTATTTCAATTGCATTTATTTTATCCTGTTCTTCATCTATAATTCTTTTAGAATTGATCACTTTATTAGGATTGCGAGGGTTAGGGTTTTCAATAGGAATATTGGGATTCTAGTTCCTAACAAAGGGTAAAATAACAATTCATGTATGCACTAGGGATAGGCTACATGAACTGCAAACGTGGAAAATTCAATGGGTTAAAGGATTACCTTGAAAAAGGATTTCTAAGGGATTAGGATTCTAATAGGGTTAATAAAGTTAAGATCACTAAGGAATTAGGGCTTAACTAATTAATTAATAGATGGTGAATTGTTTGATCAATTAGATAATTAAATGTAACATTAATTAATATTACAAGGTGGGGATCAGAAAGGTGTTGACGTCCTTTACTGCAATAGCTTTTTAAATATTTTTCTCAAATCTCAACCTTTTATTCTAAGTTTTCAATTTTCTCTCTGAATTGTTCACAAAATATTGAATAGTTCACAATTGTTACAAACACAATTACTCTCAAAAATCAACTTTTATTCATCCAACAAAAAAGAATAGTTAAAATAATTTCGGTGCCTCAATCCTCGTGGAGACGATCTCTACTCATCATTTTATTACTTGGTATTTTACGCAACAGATTTCCATGGCAAGAAAAAATTAAATATAACCAAATATAGTATCAAGAAAATCAACCCAACATTCCCGAGAATATTTCAGCTTACCAAACAACTTTTTGCAAATATTCTCAGAAAACTCATTTTTCCATCATATTCTTGAAAATTGTGTTTCCCAGGTAAAAAAAATTTCTCCTCTACCAAACGCCTCCTTAATTGTTTGGAAGCAGGCTCGAAAATTTGCTTTCCGCCTCAACCTCTCGACAGGCCAATGAACCACAGGAGCAACCAGATCAAACATCTACTGACATTGACCTGTTGAGAGAAGCAGTTAACAATCTTTCTTCCTCTTTCTTTTCCTCAGTGAATGAGTGGGGACTGGGGAGGCAAGTTATGATTTTGCAGCTCAGAATATGAGCCTTCCCAAAAGGTGCTCCTGTAGCATACTGAAAAGAAAATTGCTCAGTATTTATTGTGGAGAGAGGAAAGTGAAACGTCACTTTTGGGTGAGTCATCAGCTGATCTAGTTGTCCTTCTCATAAGTCAACGAATTCCCTTCTTTGATGTTTCACCCTAGATTGCGAGACGATTTCTCTTGCAATAAAAGATTGGAGAAAAATTTATTAAAATTTATTGAATAATTTTTTTTTGAATTATTCCTTTTCATTTTTTAAAAAGATAGGTTGGGTATATGTGGTTTGCGCTATGGTAGTTAAAAACGAGTTTTATCTAAAATCGGAAGAGAAATGAAAAATCGTAAAACGTAAAATTGTAATACAAAACGTAGATTTTACTTGCACTCTAAAATTAAATTTTTATATACATATAAATATATATATAAAATATTTTAAAAAATAGGCCTTCTTCCACAATCCATGACTTGCACTTGTCACGAAAGGGGGTCAATCTATGGTGTCACTTTTTTTATCACACATATACCTCAGCCATACTTGTATGACACACATATCTTCATTCATTCAAGAAAAGAATTGTTTTCTTACATCTCCTTTTGCTTTAGCCGAGGAGCCTTTCCCCTAGCTTCATTGTCATCAACTTAATTGTTATCAAATAAAGCATACCTTGCTCCTCTCACCTCCTTGCATGTATGATACATACCCAACATTGGTGACTGATACAAGTTACAACTTGTATTGGAAAGAAACAGAGGAAAATTGAATTATTATTTCTCATCAAAAAATCAATTACAATGTCTATACCCTTTTATATCAGCCCTTTACCCCACTCCCACCGATTAATGCCTATTACACATGTTCCCACCCTTTACATTCAGCACACGTGACTACCTAAAGTGTATAGTCAGACACGTGGGCTTCTTAACACTTATTGGACCTTCGACTTGTATCAGCTGCCCCCCCGGTTAAAAGTGACCTTGTCCTCAAGGTCTAAGTGAGGATAGACACGGCGTAACTCTGAAATGGGCTCCCACGAAGCATCTTCTGGAAGCTGACCATTGCACTAAGCTCATGTGTTGAGGACTGCCACAGATCTGAACAACATGAGAAGAAACAATAGCAATTGGTAACTGCACAGGCTTGTTATCTACAATGTGCAAAGGCAAAGATGAGAAACTCAAGCTGCTATTACCATGGAAAGGCCTCAGAGTCAAAATATGAAATGTGGGATGAATTTTACATCCTTCAGGTAGCTGCAATTGATAAGCTACACTACTGATGACCTTCTGAATTGGATAAGGACCATAGAAATGCTTTGCTAACTTGTTATTGGAACGTCTAGAAGCTGTGATTTGTCTATAAGGTTGCAATTTCACTAGGACCATGTCACCTACTTGAAAAGAGTGATCATTGTGATGCTTATCAGCTTGGTTATGCATCCTATTCTGATCTCGTTCCAAATGAGTCTTGAGAGCAGCTAACAATTCATTTCGATGATTTAAAAGTGAATCCAATGCTTTAAGTTTCACTAATCCACGTGGGTAATGAGGGATCAATGGAGGTGCTCGGCCATAAAGAGCTTGAAACGGTGTCATGTTGATGGAAGAGTGAACTGAAGTATTGTAGTGTAGTTGTGCCCAGCCCAAAAAAGAAACCCAATGATGAATATTATCAGCACAATATGCACGTAAATACTGTTCAAGGTACCTATTTGTGACTTCAGATTGACCATCTGATTAAGGGTGGCAGGAAGAGCTTGCATTTAACTTTGTTCCACTAAGTTAAAACAACTTCTTCCAAAATTAACTCATGAAGATTGGGTCACGATCAGACACCAAGGATCTAGGGAAACCATGGTGTTTAATAACCAAATCCACAGAAAGAGCAGCCACCGTTGTTGCTGTATAAGCTGATGGCAAGGGACCAAAGTGAGCATACTTGGTCATTCGATCAACTACCACTAAGATCGTGGAGAATCCTTGTGAGCATGGCAATCCTGTAATAAAATCTAGAGTAAGGTCCTCAAAAACAGCCTCAGGGATATGTAATGGTTGAATTAAACCGAAAGGTGCTTGAGTTGTTGTTTTGATCTGTTGACAAACAACGCAACTACGAACAAACTCCCACACCTCAGCACGCGTATGTGGCCAATAAAAGGAAGCTGTTATGCGCAATAATGTACGCAGAAATCCAGCATGGCCACCTAATGGGGAGCTGTGAGCTTCAGTCACAATTATCTGCTTCTGTTGTGATTGAGAACTTAATAAGTATCTATCTTTATGGAACATAATTCCATCTTTAATATGAAGATTTGCATCAGTGCATTGACCCTTCAATATCAGCTCATGAATGGCCAGCAACTCCAGGTTGGATGCATTCTCTTCTTTAATCTGAGTAATTTTATCAAAGTGTGGCTCTGAGAAATTCACCATCAAGGATCCAGACATCCACGTGGGCTTCTTAACACTTCTATTGGACCTTCGACTTGTATCAGTGATACCTTGCAATCATGTGCTCACCTTTGATTAGCCTATTCAACTCACATTGAACTCACACCTACCCCATCATTTTCATTCACCAACCGAGGAGACTCCTACCAAGCCTCATCGCCATCATTCCTTACCCTTTTCAACCGAAGCCACTCTTTCTTCCACTTACCATCCTCGGCTGAACACCCTCCTTGACCAACAATATTACCAATCATTTGCAAACAACACCATACCAAACAACACTCAGCCAGAATTCAATGACCCAAGTTTGCACATGCAAACACAATTTCATTTTTATTTTCTCACTTTAATCTTAACTGATGGACCTCCAGCCTGTGAGACGCACACTCTTCAGTATGTCTTTGGAGCGATCATAAACATGGACTCTTCGCCAATGGCTTTGGATCCCTTCTTTGTTTTTGGATTGACGACGATCTTGTTAGGTTTGTGATATTCTCTATTTCCCCCTTACCAACAATGCTCTCTAAGTCCCAGACTCTAACATCGAAGTCGATTTTGAGAATGAGAGAATGAAAATTGTAGAAGAAAGAAAGGGAATGGCCGAAGGCATAGAGAAAAAAAATGCATCGTTTTTACGTTAATACGTTTAAACGCGGCATTTTTTACACTTTCATCAGCTTTACGATTTTGCGCTTAAACGAAAGCGTTTTACTGAAAATAAAACGTAAAAATGACGATTTTACGTTTTAAATCGCGTTTTTAACTACCTTGGTTTATGCTAACCACCCCAAAACTTCGTTCCTGCTAAGGAACGAACAAAAAAACTATTATTGAGAAAGGGAAGAAAGAAGGAACATCAATCGTTCCTGTCCTTGTTTTGGGTTTGAGTGGTCAAAGTGAACCACCCAAAAACTTTGGTCCTGCTAGGAACGAATAAAACCATGCTAAAAAAGATAACAAGGATAATACTGAGTTGCCTCCCAGTCAGCGCTACAGTTATAGTCTCAAGCAAGACTTGGTGCTTTCAGACTACACGGGAATGGAGATGGCCAACTCCTGCCCTATAGTGTTGGGAACTTTAGTATCCCCCGGCAGTGTTCCTGGCTGTTTGTTGCTTACTGATGACACAATTTGCCTAAGCTGGGTTTAAATATTTCTAACAACGACATCATTCCTTGTCATATATTCTTTCATAATACCGTCTAAGGCATTGATGCATTGTTCATCTCTGGAAAATGGAGCATTGAATTGTCTCTGCTTGTTTTGATCATAGGCTCCATTGTTCCTTGTATTGTTCTGCTACTGCTTATTGTTGTTAAATCTTTGGTTGTTGGGTGGTCTCCAGTTTTGATCTCTCTGCCCTGAATTATCGTAACCTGGATTGTTGTTCCTTCCCACATAATTGTTATTGTCCCTCGAGTAATTGAGATTCTTGCCACTATAATTGTCTGCATAGCACACTGGCAATCATTTGAATCGTGGTTGGGCAAGGTTTATTTTCAGGAGCGGTGAGTTGAGAGACATTGGCCTCGGGCTTCCTCTGGTCAGCTTTCAGGTTTTTGACTTCATTCATTGCAAGTTGCGCTTCCATGGCTGTCTGTTTATCTCACTCCAACATTCCTAGCTTCTTGGTGGGAACGACTCTCTCGATTGGCCATTGAAGGCATCTTTCAGTCACATTTTCAATGATGTTATAACGAGATTCAGACGTTCCTTCAAAGAAATTTCCTTCTGCAGCAAAATCCAAATGAGATTCAAATATATGGTCGATACCTTTGTAAAAAGTTTGGAGAACTCCCCAACTTTCTACTTCGTGATTAGGACATTTCTTTATAGTGTCCTTATATTGTTCCCATGCCTCGTAGAGATTTTCTCCATAGAACATGTAGAAGTTGGACAACTCTATCCTTACTTCTGCCATGCGAGACATGAGAAAAAATCTCTCTATGAATTTGTTAGAGAGTTCCGTGTATGGAACTGGGTAGAAGGGATTTTAGCCAGATTTTGGCTTTTGACCCCAGAGAGTGGGGAAACAACCTCATTATGATGTTATCGCCCGTAACACCATCTGCTCTAAAAATCATTGAGGTGAGCATATGGATCTTCATAAGGAAGTCCATTAAAACTCCAACCTCCCTAGTCATGTTAAACATGATAAGTTTAAGCTCAAAGTTTGAGGTTGTAACTGGAGGAAAAATAACTCCTTTTTTTGGTCTGTTCCAAGATAGAGTAGCCAGAGCTCTAAATGTAGGCTCAGGGGGTGGTGGTGGTGTTCCTTCAGTTTTAGTCCCGTTTCCATTGTTATCAATGTGGTCAGCCATCTCTCTTTCTGTTTCAATTTGCCTGAGGATTCTTCTTCTTTTGTGGAGAGTACGTTTAGGTTCCGGTTCAAAGAAATTAGTGTTAAAGAAAGGTCTTTTAGAGTCAGAGGAATAATTGGATGAATCATGAGATTCACTTATAAACCATTATACAGTAAAAATAATTCAGCAGTGTAAAGAATAAATGCTTGGTGGGTTTACTAAGGAGAAGATTTCAAGCAACTTTGGTGAGGAACAAAGTGATTTCATCCACTCTAGCAAAAATTAGGTTATCAAGCTCACTTGAAATTGAGGTGACAGTCTTGGAAAAGAAAAAGAACAATAGAAGATATGTTTTTGGGTCTTAATGATTACTTAAGATAATTTAACATAGTTGACAAAGTGACAACTTGGTTATTTACCTATATGTCCTTTACTTCATTTAACTTATTCTAGCCAATAAACTTAGTACTTCTAAACATGTATCTAAATTTCATAAAACACAATAAATTAACCTCTCACTAATTTTTTTTACAAGTTTCGAGTATTTTTGCCTCTTTTCATTTTTACCACAAAACTTGCTATAAATGCACTTTTATTTGAATATTGACTTATGACGTTTCCACAATAAACTTAGTATTTCTAAACATGTATCTAATTATTATTTGATAAAATCATAGAAATTTCTAATTACTGATTTTACTGTTGTGGGCTATTATAGATCTCTTGGGAAGTTTCTCAGGAAGTGCATAAGTGAGGACAAAGCACACTAAAAAGTTCTGTGTTGATTTGTTGGGATAGTAATTGATCCTACAAGTGGTCGGGCGTTACAACAAAATCACCATTTTGATACTAGAAACTGGACTTTTGGGGCTTTAATTTGATATATAATATGTCTTGTTTACTAAAGAAACGAAGGAGTTATGGTCGTTATAAAAACTGACCAGAATCTGTTGGTCAAAATCGAACCTGAATAGTGTTCCTTCTCTCTAAATATGAGAATGACTTTTAACCCAAAAAATTCTCATATTTTAGGACATGAAAATAGACATCTTAAGCTTTAATTTAATACCTTGCACATCCCATTTGGTTGAAAATCGAGTGAGTTATGAATATTCTAAGTTGGTTGTCGTACTAGGCCCAATAATTAAATAGGCAGCACTTTGTTGCATTCTTAAATAGGGGTTGTCTTAACCCATTTATGGTACTTAATTGACCAACTCATTTATTTCATGACATTCATATACATTATATATTCTTCCATTTATTGAGTTTCCTTAAATCATACATATTCCTCAAGCTTGGGACTCCAATCTTTGCTCCTAATAACATATCCAATGCATAATCTAGCTATCCAAAAGATTACTTATAGGATCCATCAATGGATTTTTCATATTTGGCTCCATGCCCATTAATTAACTTCATTGCCTATACATCATTAACATTCATTCAATTCTTAGCCATTCCAAGGCTTACTTCTATGATCCATCGATGGGCCAACTTAAAACATCTTCTAATTTACTTGTCATGAACTTAACATAAGCTTTACATAGACTCTCGTTGTAATTCATAAACATTCATGTTCATACATCAATGGAAAAATACATCCTGAATCTTTCCTTACAATCGTTGATATTACCATATCCATATCCATATCCATGTTCCTTTAACAATATATATATATATATATATATATATATATATATATATATATATGTTGTATCATCCCGGGCGCTGACGAGAGTGGGGAGTGATCGTCGGTGCGAAAGGGCATGGACAAGGAGCGGCTCCTGGCAGGCTTCCAGCGACGGGGATACATGAATGAATCGAATCAACACCCGAAAG